AGATCTAAAGATATAAGATACATATATATATATATATAAACATCCTTGGGGTCGTATATCGATTGTCACATACGTTCGCTCATTTGTACAGGGTATGCAATTTGGTGAAGCGTTGGCACATTGAAATCCTGCGCTAACTGGCGAATGTGTTACACGTTTCATCTTGTTGTTGTTGATATTATTATATATATATGTACATATATTTTTTACTGGCAACGGTCGCAGCGTGCAGCGTTGTGTAGTTTAGGCCAAATTAACATATCACACAAGCCGCAGTCGTTGTCGCAATCATTGCTGAGGCCAATCCTCGTGGCATGTCCTTGCTGGGGACGTCGCTCTGGCTTTTTGGCTCTGCTTGACTTGCCACTTTGAGGCAGCGCCAAGGCAACCCAGATTTGCATGCATTTACTGTATATAGGCCTAGGCTTGCTCTCAATGCTTATGCTTTCGCTTCTGGGCCATTGACTGGGCCACAGTCCACAGCCCCGCACAGCCCCCCACAGCCCCCCACAACCCTCCACAATCGGGCCACCACCCATTCAGCGCCGTGCCACGTCATGGCTCATATCACATTTTTGCTGCTTGCTGCTGTCTTATAACATGGAATGTCTTATGAATCTGTTGGGAATGGCAGCCGAAAGTCTTCTTAACGTCAAGTGCTTTTAAAGCAAAGTATCTGTCTACTACATTTTGCATATGACGCTCTTCTATTGCTTCTACAACGAACCAGTAAATGAACCACTTACAAATTTAGCGTATTTTTCATAATTTGTTCACATAATAGCTAAAAGCAAATGCTGTGCATATCAGTTAAATGAACTAGTAAACGAGCGAAAGGTTGAACCATTAAATGAGCCAGTCAGCTGTCGGCAGTCAGAACTTTACTCTCTTAGCGTTATATCTACAATCAATCAGTCATGGAACCAGAGAAAGAACCACATATCATTCTGTTTGTTGGATGTTGCAATATTTCCAAATTGAACCAGCGATTGAACCATTTTTTGCAAAAATTTGGCTCAGTTCAATGTATAAATTTGTATTATTAGTTCACTAAATCACTAAATGAATCACTTAAAACCTTTGACTTAACGAACGAACAGATTCACAAGAATCGTAACGCTTGTTTTTAGGTGACAAAAGCTCGAATTGAACTCAACTAGTTGCACTCACTATTGAAAGCGTTTTCATTAAAGCACTACTAGAAGCAAAGAGCAATGCTCTCAATTGCAGTTTGAATTGTACTCGAGTCGTCAACTGCTTCAGCAAATCAGGCATCAAAGAGCTTGAAGATAAATGCAGACAATTTTCTTTATGTTCTCCATTGGTTCATAAACCGAATCACTGGTTCAATGGCAGCAAAACGACAAATAATTTCTAATCAAATCTTTCCATCTCTGTGCAAAAGTATCCCCCCTCCCCCCCCCCCCCCCTCTCACCCAACGCTCCCACTTAAACTCACTCTCTGCATCTTTTTCTCTCTCTGCATTGTGCTTGTAACAAGGCAATGCATTGCTGGATCGCTCACGCCTTTTTTGCGTTCCTCTCGCTCTCTTTCTCTCACTCGCCCTACGCCAGCGCTTTTTGTTTGTCTATCGGTACGCGTGTGTGTGTGTGCGCCGCACACATGCACACATTACATTTTGACAGTCGCCGATAAGCGCACAACTTTCAGCTCGCACAATTCCTTGGCATTCTTTGTTCTCCGCTGCCTCTGCGCCCGCCCCTGCGACCCTTCTCGTCCTGCTCTATGCTGACACTTGCGCTGTGTACGTTTTATATATGGTTGTGCGTGCTCAGTGGGTGTGTGTTGTGTGTGTGTATGGGTGTGAGTGTGGATATTAGTGTGCATGCCTTTTAACCAAGCAGATTAATGAAAATTGAAATTGCATTTACCGTTGATTGCTCAAAGACATCCAAACACTACACTTGCCATACCCTCCTTGCCCCTCCACCGGCCTGCCCGCTCCTTGGCGAATGTCGCGCCATTTTGCTGCCAATTCCCAGCTCCCACTCCATTTCTACTGCCCACACACACACACACACAAACAAACACACTCGCACGCACGCATACATTTAAAACAAAGACCAAAATGATTCATTGTATTCTATGAATGCAGGTAATATTTTTTCCCTTCTTCTTCGCTGCCCCTCTCCACCTCTCGCCTAGCGCGTTCTGTCTCTTCTGCTCGTACTTCTTGTTTAGTTTGCATGTTGTATCATGTTGATTTGCTTGCGTTTTATACACTTACAAAGGGCCTTACAGCTATGTCAAAAGTTTTGTAATGCATAGAAGTTTATGCATATATATGTATATACAGTCTTAAACAGTTACAAAAGCCGAGTCGATATAAACATAACACCCCATTTGTTTGCATATAAACTGTTTAATTGAAAAGTGTTTTTAACATTGGACTTATATGGTTTGTCAGCAAGGATATTTGATCTTCGGCGTGCCATTGATAGCTCGGTTTCTTTTTTTTTGTTGTTTATTATAATTGTTATCATTTTTGTTGTTGCCATTTGTTGTGGACAGACAATAAAAAGCATTTCATTTGAATAATGTGAAAACATTTTGTTAGACAACGCCGTCGCCTTCGTCGCTGTTGCCGCCACTTCTTGCCACATTTTTAAACTGCTCAACTGACGTCTCCCTCTCTCTCTCTCTCTCTCTCTCTCTCTCTCTATCTCTTCCACTCACTCGCGCGCCTCACTCCCGCATTGATTGCCCATTGATAGCAGGTCGACAAACAGACAGACAGACAGACGAACGGACAGATGGACGGACAGCCACATGGATATTTAAATGACTTGGTCATTTTGCCATTAGCCTAGAGAGTTCTGTGACTGATGAAATTTTTAGGGCCTGTGACCGACAGTGGAGCAGCTTTATGCTGGAAATGAACTAGATCATTTTCAATGCACATAACCTCAGTCTAAAGTAGTATTGAGTATTGAGTATTGAGTATTGAGATTCGGCAAATAATAACAGTAGAAAACTTTTTGTGAACATTCTCATATGTTGGAGACTTCATACGGAGGGTTATTTAAAATAAAAATTTGCTTAAATATAGATTTGGTTTTGATTTGCATATTAGTTTTCAGATCTAGGAGTAGAAAAGAAGATATTTCAAGCTCTTCTTAAAAAAAAGTATAATATTTTGCATTTCCATATTCTTTTTATTCACAAATATTTATGGAAGGACACTTCAAAATCTTTCAAAGTAATTGACAAAGTTTTTGATGGTAAAATTGTATTAAAACCAAAATAATTTTCGAACTAGTTCCATTCTGATCTGGTTTTGGCTGGAGAAGAAACCAAAAGGTTTCCTTTTTTTTTTTATTTGTTCGTTTATTGTATTGAATCAAAAATAGCATACATTTTTATTACAACACAGTTGGCTTAGGTGATATTACGCCAAGCCTGGTTGAGTCCTCAGGCTTTATCGTGGACAAACGTCAAAGGCGGCTTTTTGAGTAAGGCTGCATCGTCACGTAGGTAGTCGGGGGACTCTGGGGCGTCTCCTATGTCGTGGTTGGAGGAGGTCCTTGAACGATCTTCTCTTGAGCCTCCTGACTACACACCTCCCAGCGAGGTCTCTTGCTACCCGGCTGCAGTGTCGCTGCAAGCGTTCATTGCACCGGTTGGCGAATGCTCCGACTTGGCTGTCTGTGGTCTCCATTTCGAGGTCTCTGTGCAAGGTAGAATTTCTGACGTACCAGTCAGCACCCGTAATTCGGCGCAGGGCCAAGTTTTGGAGTGGCCGAATCCGTCTTCGATTTGTCCGAGATGCAATGCCCCAAACCTGAATACCGTATCTAAAAGGTTTCTAACGCCTTTCAAATCGAAAACTGATTGTAGGGATGGAAAATTTTGCACCTGAACATTTCTATGAAACTGTGTTGCATGGCTTTGTGGAGCAAGACAATTTGAATATACATATATATTTTATTAGTCATTTTCGAATTGCTTTCGTTGCCCCCAAAAGTATGTCACAATTTCTGCTTACTTGTGGCTACATAAATAATATGCACCCACGTATGGATATTGTTTTGTATTGTATTGTATTGTACTCGTCAATTGGGAGCGTATATGAATAATTTGTGCCGTGTGGCAGAGTAGGGGGGTAAAGGGGTAGGTAGGTAGGGGGGGCGTGACTAAGCTGGTGCCAGAATAGTCCGTGCAGTAGTTAACCTAAAACAAATAATTACATTATTGTGGCTAGGGATAGGGTAGGCTCTCAATAGTCCTGCAATCGATTAGCTAAATAAATTATCGATAAATGTTATTTAAATGGCACACTACGTGCATTCAAATACCTGCTACAGATACTTGCTAAATTTAAAAGTAGATCAAATTTATGGAGAAATTTGCATAATAAGTGAACAAAAGGCAAACTTGTAAAAGGAAATCAGCAAATTACAATGGCTTTATCGATTATTATCGATAAACATCAGGATCAAATTTCATTAATTATTATTATGCCATTAAAAAGTTAAACATTCGTTTGTTTAAGAAAAATATCATCAAAATATTACATGCCACAAGATCTGAAACGTAAGTCTTAAATGTTTATTAACTTAAGAAAGGTGGCAAGAACAATGGCATCGTATATCGAGAAGTTATCGAAAGCAGACATTATTGGTTTTTAGCGCAAAAGTAATCTTTTCCATTTATTGAAGCTATTGTACTCCATATGAGATTCCCAATAAGTGGTAACAATAACATATGTATGTATATCGATAAGTTATCGATTTATTGAGAGTGCACAAAGCAATCGTACGCCATATGACATCCCCAAATAGTGACAATGACAATGTATATCGATAAGCTATCGATAGCAGCCATTATTGGCTATTTCTCCATATGACATCCTAATTAAGTGGCAAGAACAATGACAATGTATATCGATAAGTTATCGATAGCAGCCATTATTCGCTGCATCTGCAAACTATGAACTAGCAATATTTTGTTGTGAGCACACAAAGCAATCTTTTTCATTTACTAAAGCTATCGTACCCCATATGACATCCGAAATATACCCAAAAATTGTTCACTCAACTAACATAAAGGACGCGACCACAAGATGGGCGATAATCCCAATTTAATGGAGCAGCGCGAACGCATTGACAATGCGCTCATCAATGCCGTCGACGACATGGATCGGGAGCATTTGCGCAAGCTGCAGCTGACGATGCACGGCTGTGCCAAGCGCTGCTGTGCCGATATGGACGCCAGTGCGGATGCGGTGCAGCGTTGCGTAGATCGCTGCCAAATGCCGCTGACGCGCGCCCGCTGCTATGTGCAACAGGAGCTGGCCGAGTTCGAGTCCCAGCTGGAGGATTGTGTGCGCCAGTGCCAGCTGCCCAGCGAAGATGATATTTGTGGCGGGCGTGTCGAGCGCTGCTCCTTGGACTGTGTGGATAAGTATGTGGCGCTATTGCCGGAATTATTGAACGCCATGCGAATGGAACTAGAGAAGGGCCTATAAACGGGGAGGGGGCCAAAACAGACAATAAAACATATCTACGTTATATTCAGGAAATGCAAAAAAGTTAATTAAAATAGTTGTAAATAAATCAAAGCTTATCTAATGCCTGAGCGCTGCCACACATTGACAGCCAGCTAAACTGTCTGTCTGTCTGTCCGTCTGTCTGTCTGTCTTGTCAGTTTTGGCCTATAAGTAGCGACAACTTGGCCGAGAAGAGCACAGAAAGTTTTTTCAACTAAAACTGAATACTGCATCAAAAAATGCGTTGCCTTTTCTTACTGCTGCTTTGCGTCATACTGGCCGCTGGCCAACGCGATCGCTTGGGATTCTCAACTGATGCTGACATCGATGTCGAGCAGAGCAGCGATGTGGTGCTGCTCGACCGGCGTCCGGCTAGGCAGGATGGAGCTGCAGCCCAGACCAGCGATAAGCCGGCGGCTACAAAGCCAACGCCAAATCCAAACAGAAAGTTTGCCAGAAAGGTGCGACGAGTGCTGCGACGTTTGGGACTGCTCAAGGATGGACTGGCCACAACTGTGGTGGATGCGCTAGCAAGGAATACAGTTCAGCTGCTGCGCTTGGATGAGCTGATGCACACTGCGGCGTTGGGGCAGAGGCGTAATGATAATGCTGACCGCTGGCATCGGCTTATCCTATAGGCTATGCTTCTGAGTGTGGGAGTGTGTCTGTTGATGTATGTGTGCAATAAATGCAATAAATGAGCTTGCCATAAAGTGTATGGCAAGCTAGCAAAGCAAGCAACAACAAGTAGCTGCCGTAATGTGCCAACTGTTGAGTTTCCTTCCGCTTCCGCGAGGAGCGCCAGTCGTGCGCTCTCTCGCTGTCCCTCTCCCACACACACTCTCGCAGTGTCATGCTCTCGCTTTCGCTCTCGCAAACATAACACACGACTGTGCCGGCATTATAGCGGCAGCGACGCCGGCAGCGGCAGCAAATAAACCCGAACGCCAACGATGACTGCTTACAGGTGTTTATCGTGCTTCGTGTATTGCGGCTGTGCATTCGTTTGTGCTTTAATGTGTAGGAGGCGTTGCGCTTGCTCCCCTCATTACCCTCAGTCGCCGCAGTCGCCACGTTCGTCTCGTTCGTCTTGTTCGTTTTGTTCGTTTTGTTCGTCTCGGGCGCTCTTCGTTAGTGTGCGTTCGTTTTATAGCGCTCTTGTCGTGGGCGTGCTGGTTGCTTTATATTCCTGCGACTGTTGCGCTATCGCATCAGTTTCATTTGAACGTTATTCAGAGCGAGTTGTGCAGCAGCAGCTGAGCAGAACCAGAACTCTGAACATTCAAAAACTCAACACTTCAAACTTCAATCATATTTTCAAACGCTCACGTTGCTCGCCAACAACAACAACAATCAGCAACTCGCTATCAACACTTTTTTTTATTGTTTTTTTGTATAAGTGCAGTGCTGAAGATCTCATAGCTCATTCAGAACATAAACAAATTTAAAAAAAATTACTTAAAAAATAAAAACACTAGTTCAAAAAAAAAATATAATTTAAAATTTGAGAGGAGAGAAAAGTAAAAAGTCGAAACGATTTGCATTTTTGGCGCTCCAATTTTAGTTTGCACAAAATTTTGTGCTAATTTTGTGTCTTCAATTTGTTTTTTTATTGTTTGCTTAGTTTTTTTTTGGTTTTGTTTTCATTTTATTATTAACACTGCGGTTTAAGTAATTTGTTGATTGCTTACGCACAAAATGTGCACAAAATTCTCACTGGATTCGAACGACTGAAAAGTGTGTCGTTCTCAGGACATTTTTTTCACAGTAAGTACAAAATCATAAATATTCGTTTAATTTTGAAAACTTTTTCAAATATTTATATGATGAATGTGGCGTTTATAGTTTTTGAAAAAACGCTTTCGGGGATTCATATTGTGCGTGTTTGTGTGCGTTTTAAGAAAGTTTCTGAAAAAAATGAGTGAAAAGGTTCTTCTTTTTTCATTTTTTATTTTATTTTTTTATCAGTGGTTTTTTTTATTTATTTTTGTGGCTTGCGTTTCCCAAGCTGGCAAAAGTTCTGTGTCAAAGTTGAAAGCATATTTGCGGTTTATTTCCATTTTCAATCTTTTTTGGCCATTTGATGTCCGAATGTTCAGTTTCAAATAAATATGCAAAACTATTTAATTGAGACTTAAAGAATAACTTTAGTTTCATGGAATGAAAAGTTTGTCTCGTTTTTTTTTTCTTCTTTTGATTTTTTGGCTTTGGCCATTTTTTAACGAATTTTATTTGCAATAAAAATATATTTTTATTTCTTTTTGCGTTTCGCCATGAAGCAAAGCTTTAAAATGCGAATTGCTTTTTGGTTTTAATTGAAATAATCTTCAAAATATTCGATAAACTCTGACGTTTAATTGCTTTTAATCAGCTGTTAATGGAAAAGTTCGAGAATTCTTTTTGAAAACTTGAACAACAAATTTTTGCCAAGTCGCACATCACGTATACGCAAATTGCAAACTGCATGAAAATCGTTAGGAAAATGCAATGCCAACAAAATAACCAAAAAAAAAAAATAGAAAAATATATATAAAAAAATAGAAAAATGTAGAAAAACACAAGAATTACTATGACAATATGAAAGCATATTGCCAGGCACACGATTCTTTTTTGGGGCAGTTCAAAAACTGCTTCAATGTCGCGTATTTTTTTAATATTTTAATGAAAAATTTGTGTAAATTATTTGAAAAGAGAGCGAGTGATTTCATTTTTAATATTATTATATAATATTCTATCAATTCATTTTTTTTTATAACTCGAACGATCAGTTTGCAAGTGAACTTGTTAATGGAAGAGCAAGTATTCAAATTTGCATAAAATACGCATTTTATATATTTATATTTTGCGGCCAATTCTAACGGGTGCTATATATGACTCCATATCGTACTCTATATATATATATATATATATATAAAAGCTGTCTTGGCAAATAGTCTCTTGTAAGAACTGTTAAATTGTTATATAAATATGGACTCTAATTGTTGGCAAATCTTTAGCATATACTCCAGCATATATGTATGCTCCACTGCAAGTGTTAACCGGTTTTGCACGGTCTAAGCATATACTGAAATATTCAAAATCAGTTTTTGGGTTAATTTTATCAAACTCAATTTATAACACGTATTTGTAATTTTTTTCTAAATATATTTAAAGTTGCGTTTGAGTGAATCGTTTGAAAAATAATTTGAAAATAATTGTATGCAATAGTTTTCTGTGCATTTTCCGACCTTAAAGAAGGACCAATAAAACACATTTTCATAAATAATGATGAATTTGCACAAAGAATGAAAGGAAATGTTTTTGATCTTGTGTTGATCCTCAATTGGTCGGTAAGTCGGAAAAAAATCATATAAATATAGATAAGTATATAATAATATATAAATTAATAAATATAAATAAGTAAATAAGTTGAGAATAAAATAAATAAATTAATAAATATAATGAAATAAAAAATATTTGTTAATATGTATAAATCTTGATATGTGGCTGAAAAAGCGTTTGTCTTGAATAATATGATATGATATAATATGATATGATATGATGTGATGTGATATAATATGATATGATATGATATGATATGCTATAATATGATATGATACATGAAATAATATATGAAATGATATGATATGATATGATATATGATATATGATATATGATATGATAGATATGATAGATATGATAGATATCATATGATATGATATGATATACCATATTGATATAGTTATATATTTGAGCCAAGATTTGAAATGATATGATGTGATATGATGTGATATGATATGATATGATATGATATGATATGATATGATATTATATGATATGAGATATTAGATGATATGAGATATTAGATGATATGAGATGATATGTTATGATACGATATGATACGATATGATATGATATGATATGATATGATATGATATGGTATAATATGATATGATATGATATGATATGATATGATATGATATGATATGATATGATATGATATGATATGATATACCATATTGATATTGATATAGCTATATATTTGAGCTTACTTCAAGTTTTTAGCATTCTGTAGGGGTTTTTATTTAGAATCTGTTTGAAGGGACCTCGCAGCCACACGCAAATGGCATTTGGCAGCTTCTCAGGTTTGCCCCTGGTTTTTCTCGTTAACCGTTAAGTTTGCGCGCGTGTATGCGTTTGTGTGAGCGCGTGCCTCGGCGGGGCGTGCTTTTGTGTATTGTTCTGTATGAGCGTGCATCCTGTACGTGTCCTTTTGCTAATCGCTGCGTTCAAAGTGTTGCACGGCAAAGCTGCAGCGACGCTTTTGGCGCGTGACACCCAAAACTCGCGGCAAATAAAGAGAAACAGCGACACGCCGAGAGACAGCGACAGGGAGAGTAAGAGAGAGAGAGAGAGAGAGAGGGTGGGAGACAGTGGGCGGCAGCGAGAATGCGATCTTTGATTTGGCATCAGGCGGCGAAAGTGTGCGGCGCATACGTGCTGCAAGTTTTTATTGCGGGTCGCCACCTTTTGGCAGAAAACTTTTTAAGCTAGCAAACTGCTGCCGCAATTCGTTGCGCTTTTTACATTTGTTGCATTCACAGCAGCTTCTGCTTGTTGCGCGCTGCTGTCATTTGCCACTGCGGTTTGTTTTTTCTCATAAATATATTTGTTCTTTTTCGTTTGTTTTTCTTTCTTTTATTCGCGTGCTCGTTTCGCCCGGCGCGAAAACTTGTTAAGCATCAGAACTCAGCAGTGCGTTAAACTCACCGAAAAAAGCAACATAAGTTCAACAAAATTAATTAACTACAGTTTTGAATACAGAAAACTGTCGCTTGTGCTTTTAAAAATAATATTTACCCATTTTTTATTCACCATAATAATATGAACATAACCAAGACTTCAAATATACATGTTAATGTTAAATGCCGTAACAGCTGTAACATGCAGGTGATAACAACCTATTAAGTAACATGTAGAGAAAGTGTTGAGAAAAATGTTAGCATAAGCGCTTAAACTTGCGATTGCAATAACAGTCTCTTTTAAATAACAGTTGTATAAATGTTGTCAAGAATATTTGCAAAGATATGAGCATAAATAGTT